CAAATCCCAGACATGTGAACAAACCCAGCCAAGATAAACAGAGCTTACCCACAACTGGGCCCAGATGTATGGGCAGTAAACGCTTGTTACACAGCATAACATGGCAATGGATAATTGATATACCACAGTGTGAACATTAGATTGTAATTGCTGTTTAGTCATCAGTCTCCCTCATTGGGCTATGGACATCTTGAAGACAGGAATTGTGTGTTACTCGTTTTTCAATCTGTAGCACTCAGCACTGTGCCTGGGAAAGATAGGGCATCACCTCATCCTTTCTTTATTTCTTTGAGCACCTTCATAGGCTGCTCATTAAGCCCATAAGACTAGCTGCTAAAGCTTTGGCACACTGCATTTTGAGGCATGCCACCAACCACCACATGGCAGAAGTTCCCACCCAGAGGCAATAGTCACTTGGATTCAAGAACACACCATCTTGAACAAGAAAGCTCATGAAATAGGTACACACAGCCTGGCCAAAATAGACAAAGGTAGCACAGCTCATGAGGTCACCTCCACCGCCTCTCACATTTGTTAATGGCTGGGCACGAGAGCTGGATTGGGCTGGATGCAGCAGCCCAGGCTGCTCCCCTAATGAGCTGGCTGAAGATGAGGTCAGAGCCCCCCCTACCCCACCTCTAGGCCTTTTCCAGGCCTCTAGGCTCTGGCCGCCACCACTGAAATCTGATCTGCAGCCATCTGGTGCGGGGTGTCGATGGCAGCATGGTGGCTGGGGATGGATCACAGGAGGCAGTGGCCCTGTTGCTGTGCACATTGCTAAGGCAACAGGCCCTCCCTCTACACGAGACATGCCTCGGATGAAAGTGTCCGTGTCGAGGTGATCAACTTTCCTGCTCTAGGGGCAGGGCACACACAGACTTTCCATGACCACACCTAGCTGCTGCACACACCTGCCCCATAGCTTCTCAGAGTCAGCCTGGCCAAGGCACCACCAGACCTGTGGTGAGGTCATCGGCCCAGACACCCAGAAGACCCGGCTGGGGGAGCAGGGAATGGCTGCCCTGGACCTTCCTTGACTCATGGGGTCACTTCTGCAATCACGTGGCCCTCACAGAGCTGCGAAGTTTTCTAGAGAATTAAGTATGTTACAATCTGTAGGAGGCTATGAATGGTCCTGGCATATAGGAAGTGCTGGGTAAGTGTTTGTTAAATAAAACTTAGGAGAAAATAAATCCAAACCTTTCCAGATTGGAGCTGAGAGGGCCCTCAGAGGTCATCTGGCCCAGAGGCTTTTCAGGCCTTTTATAGCCATGGAATCCTTTCTTTTTGTTGTCATTTTCTAAAGGAACCTTACTTGGAACTCAAAATGTGAAGCAGATAAAAATGGAAACCTCCCTGATTGATATAAGGGACACAGGCTGGAGCCTGAACTCCTGCCAGCTCAATGTCCTCCTGCAACAGGAACTCACTCCTCAGGTCTTTCTGTGGAACCCACAGGTACCCTGGAGCCCTGTTTGAGAACCACTGATCCCATGCCCTTATCATATAAAAGAGGAGACAAGAGTCCAGAGCAGGTAGGATGAGCCTTGTCCATGGCAAAACAGTGAGCTGGGGGCAGCGTGGGCTCAACTTCGAGCCTCCTAACTTAGCCCTGGACCCTGTCCAGTGTCCTGGATCACAAGCCTGGATTTCTGGATATCCACAGGCACAGTCTACACTCATCCACACGCCTTGCCACACCCATTTTCTTTTTGAAGCTTTGTAAAATAGCCAGAAAGATCCAAGGAATATTTATTGTTAGTCTGTTCCTAATAAGTCTGTTATAAATAGTCTATTACTAAGACATAAAATTGAGGCCAGATCATTTAAGAGGCATTCCTACATGCCACAGTAGGAGTTGGGTGGGGACAGGACTGAAATCCAAGCCTGTCACCCCTGACTTCCACCAATTAGGTGGGTTTTGTGCCTCCTACAGACCGCTGGGCCTAGATCCTTTAGGGACACGCAACCCACAGAGTTGTCCTGTTCCCTGCCTCCCATTCACCACTGAATCCCAATGTCCCCACTAGCAGACATTCGAGAGACACTGCAGACATTCAGGAAGGAAGCTGACCCTGGGTCATGAGCTCTTTCCCCTCTACCTCCCACCCGTGCCACCCTCTGCACGTTATAGCAGTCTTCAGCCCTTCATTACTAGGATTACTATGTTACTGAGCACTTGCTATGTGTCAGGAACTTTCTGTTTCTAAGATCATGTTACTTTATTTAATCTTTATAGCAACTTTGAGTTGTCTATTATTAGCCACACTTCATAGATTTAAAAAAAAAAAAAAAACTACAAGAAAGACGCATTAAGTACATTGCCAAAGGTGCCAAAGCTGGAGAGGGGTGAAACAGGCATTTGGGCCAGCCCAGGAATGTGTGCTCTTAGCTAACCACTGTCCACTTAGGCCTCCCTCCTCTCTCTCCAGGAGACAGCCAGCAGGCATGGTGCCTTAATCACAGTTAGGAAGCCAAGAGGTAGAGGGGAGTGACAGGGACAAGACCACCTAGCTGGTAAAGGACAGAACTGGGGTTTGAAATTACATCACCCTGGCACCGGACCAGGCTCCCACAACCAGGACCCTTCCACAGGCATTCCTGCTGCTTCCAGCAGAGGGGAGTTACATTCATTCACTCAACAAATGTTACTGGATTTGGAGAACATTCTTCGAAGTATAGCATCGCAAGACTGGAAAAACAAAAGCAATGTGTACTCAATGCCAATTTGAAACTAGGAGACTGAGAATCACAGGTCCACACAACAGAAAATGTCAATTTAACTCAAGAAGTGGAGAGGAGGGGAGGGGGTTCCGAGCTTCCACCCAGGGGGCACAATGTATGATATATGGCACACTCCCTGGGTGTAGGACACAGCTACAACTCTGGGTTCTACCTGTTACTTCATGTAAGTTATATAACCTAATGGTTTGTACCCTCATATTAATCTGATATATAAAAAGGAATGAAAAAACAATAACAAAGAGCTCTGGGTCCAAGGGACCAGAACAGAATCAGAAGAAATCCAAAAACCAAAAACCAAAACAAACAAACAAACAAAAA